CCCCAAATCCCGCCGCCCCGCCCAGGCATCGTCACCACGCCCCTCGACGTGCTCAAGACGCGCCTCATGACGCAGGGCGCGTCGGGCCGCTACAAGAACCTGGTCGACGCGACGCTCACCATCGCGCGCACAGAGGGCTGGGCGGCCTTCATGTCGGGCTGGCAGCCGCGCCTGATCTGGATCTCCCTCGGCGGGTTTGTGTTCTTCCCCGCGCTCGAGGCGGCGAAGAAGGCGTTCGGCCCGGCCGGCGGCCTGCTGACGCCGCCAGACACCCAGTTTGTGATCGAGGAGCTCGAGGTCAAGGATATCAAGAAGTCCAAGGACGCCAAGAAGAAGTGATCTGGTTGGGCCTGAGCCCAACCCAGGCCGATCGACGCCGCCTGATTTGCGGGGTGCCATTGGGGTGGCCGGCTGTTGGGTGCGTGACACGCTTGTTTGGTTGACTGACCTATTTCTCGGGAGGACTGCGCGCAAAATGGCCCTTTTGCTCGCCAAGGTATGGATTGGTGGCGCAAACGCAGCCGATTGCTTCACCCCGTTGACTTCTTTTGCGCACATGTCTTTGTGTTACATCGGCGCTTGAACTTATGTGTAATGAAACCAACCATCGCTGCAGGGTGTCAAGTTTGTGTTTTGCGTGGGTGGGGCGGGGGGGGGGGAGGGGTGAAAATGCAACCAACTTGAAAAACAGTGATATGCGGCCAGGAACCTCGATTATGCGCGGCCCATACCATGTACGCCCGCTGCCAGCTCAGCATAACAAGTTTGACTCAGCACAAGCTGACCAACGCGCACCTCCCCGATACAAGGCGGCACGCCGCGACAGACAGTGCGATCAAACACTCCTCGCGCCGCGGCCAGCACGCCTCGACAGCTTTCAAGTCGCCCATGCTGCGAAAAGCAAGCAGCTCAGCACGAGACCACCCGGCTAGCGATGCCGCGCACGCGCCGCACTGCTGCCTGCATGATTCAGCGGTTCGCTGCCACTAGACACTGCCCCCCACCAAGTGCAAGTTAGAAAGTCCTTGTAACACACTTCCCAATGACACTCCAGCTGCTCGCCTCTCGCCACACCCCCAAGTTCGAAGTCCACCCTAACGCCTCTGCGAAGTCAGCGCATCGCCAGCGTCGGCCGCGCGCTCGCCGCCGCTTGCCGCCGTGCCTGCCTGCGGATCCTGCCGCTGCTGGGTCGCCGGCGGCTGCTGCTGCTGCTGCTGCTGCTGCTGCTGCTGCTGCTGCTGCTGCTGCTGCTGCTGCTGCTGCTGCTGGGGCTGCTGCTGCGGCTGGAAGGCCTGCGGCTGCTGCTGCTGCCACGTGCCCGCGGCGACGACGCCTGCGACAGGCGGGTACCCGGCTGAAGGGGGGTAGCCCCCATACAGCGGCGGCATTGCCTGGCTGGCAGGCGCCCCATACGGGTAGGGAGACCCATATGCGTATGGTTGCTGCTGCGCCTGCCCCGGGGGCACCGGGCCCGTCCCGCAGCCCGCCGCGCCCGCCGGTGCCGCGCCCCGCCAGCCGTACGGGCCCGGCGCCCCCGAGGGCGCGGCGGCTGCGCCGCCGGCGGCGCCTGGCTGCTGCTGCGGCGGCGGGGGCGGGTACGTTCCCCAGGTCGGCGGCACGGCCACGCCGGGCGCGGGTTCACCCACTGTAGCTGTCGTCATTGGTATGTGGTACATGGGCACGCCAGGCGCTGACGAGCCGCCGTTGAGGCCAGACTGCCGGGGCAGCGGCCGAGGGCGGCATTTTATGGCGTGGGGGGTGCGAGAGGGGCACGTGAGTTCATTCAAAGTGCAGCCGCACTCAGGAGCAGGCAGGGGCTTGAGGCCCTGCCGCACGCTTGGTCCTGCAGCCAGCCGGACCCCGTCGCGCACCCAGCACGCCCTGCCCACCGTTTCGGCCTCTGGGTATGAGGGCCGCCCCTTCCGCTTGAACTGGAACCTGAACGCGCCGACCGCGAACGCGTGCACCACCACGAATGAGACACAGATTGCGATGCGGATGATGTCACGGCTGACAGCCATGATTGCGAGCAGCAGGATCCAGGCCACCAGGAATCCAACATTGAGGGTGTATAGCGAACAACACGCCCGCGAGCCGGCCGCGTTCGGGAGGTCGGAATACGGCGTGCGGTAGCAGAAGCACCGCGGGTTGGGCCACTGCCACGCGACGGCGAGGCCTAACGGGAAGGGCATGGCGGGGGAGGGGATAGGAGGGTGAGGACGGGGGCATGGGCCGTCGAGCGGCGGCAACGCCGGGCGGCTCGCAGGGGGCCACTGTGCGAAGCAGGCGTGTGCAAGGCAGGAGCAGGGCGTGGGCGCCGCAGCCGCTTTACGACTCACCAAACACGGCAAAGATGATGCTGGTGAGGGCAAACGCCCCCACCCAGATGTTGGAGATGACCTGCACGCGCAGCAGCACGGCGGGCCACGCACACGTCAGCATGCAGCGCGTGGCGCGGATCGCACCAGGTGCACGGTACTAAGCACCTGGATGTCAGCATGGTCACGCATGCACCGCCGCGGCGACGGTGAGGTGCATGCGCGACGGTCGGAGGCATGCAACCGCACGGCGATGTGCAAGCAGCGAGACGCGAGCGGCACGCCCGCACGGGGCGGCACAGCTCTTGCACGGTGTTGCTTGCTCACGTTTGCGATGTTGACCGTCCCAAAATCATTTATGGGATAAACATCGTCGGTGACGTATGTCTCCACCGTCTGCCCGTGCGCAAAAGGCAGCAGGAGCACTCCCAAGAGGAGCGCCAAGCCCCGGTGATCCGCCATGACGCACTTCCTAGATGTGTGCTAGTACTATGATACGAAGTTACGCGTCGCTTGCCCTGCAACAGGTTTGTTCGGCCCTGCACTTAGAAAACGCAGCTGCCAGCTCCCTTGATGAGCGGAAGCCACACATACATTGCTGCGGTGGACAGAACCTCGCTGGCAGTGTGCACAGGAAGCGCGCAAAGCACGCTGATGCGCACGCACGGCCACATGCATCAGGTCGTCACAGTGATGATGCCAGGCCCTGGGTCAGGCATCGATTGATCGGGCCACTTGCGTGCCCCTGCTTGTGCCCTAGATGCGTGCACGACACCCTAGTCTGCAATGTTGAATGTGAGAGCGCCATGGCTGCGCCTTCAGCCATACACTGCTGAATTGTTTTGGTTTGGGCGGTCAACCTTGCTTAGTCAAACCTTACTACCCTGCAGAGCCGTCGTGCAAATGGCCGACTTTGGTAACCAGCTGTTTGAATGGGGCCAACTTAACTCTTGGTGGACGCTTGGCAGCGAGATGTGGAGCATGTCTGTGAATTTGCTCGGTTAGCAGGGAAGTGTAGCATAATGTAACGCCCGACAAGGTCCTGGGCCTGATCAAAAGGGCCCCTTGTTCGTGGCAACCCACAACACACTTTTGCATCCCCCGGTCCTGAAACCTTCAGTGCAAGCAAATTCACTACAGCCCCTTGTTACGCACCCAGGCACAGCAATATACTCAAGCCCAACCCGTGCGTCTGCGTCCTGCACCCACTGCTGCGCTCTAATGTCTGGGAAGGAACTTTGACCCTCCTTGATATGTGAAGCAGTGCAAGACGGGCACGCGGGGCTGTACACAGAACGCGCAGGAGGTGCAATCGGCTCTCTTGGCGTGTTGACTGTTGCAAAGCGGTGATATGCAGCGCCAGCGGTGATGCATTTGAATGGTGCACGAAGAAGAGAAAAGTTGCGCAGGTCGCTGTGGCGCATTGGAAACACGCTGTGCTGTGCACTGTATGCGGCACTGGCGCCCTGTGCCTGGCGAGCAGGCTCACACTGGCATGAAAGCCGCCGGCTCGCTTGACTCTGCGCCACTGCCTTGACTAACTCCACCAGTTAGTCTCTGGGCAGCCAGGCAGCATTACTGGATTCGTGACCATTCATGGAAGGGACACAGTGTAGATGTTTGGTGAAGAAATTTGCCGTTACGGCCAATTGCATTTGCATTTGTTTGGTCAGTTACGCACTGTGCTGGACGGCGGTTCACTGCCCAAACGTTGCCTGGCAAGCCCGATTAGTGGCCGTCACCAGGCCACGTCGCAAAAAGGCTTTTTGCACTGCACCTGGCCGCGGCCTCTCCAGATGACAGCAGGCACCAGCAGGTGCAGGCCGCAGTGTGCTTGGCGCCTAGGGGCCACATGGGGCGAGCGCCACCTTCTCTGCGGCCTGTGCCTGCTTGCCCCTGCAGGGGGAAGACCTCGGGTGCGCTTTTGCACCCCGCTTGGTGCTTCGTGTCAGGGTGCCATACTGAGGGCCCAACAACTCGCAACATCTGAGCCAGGGGGGTTGTGCCACAGGCTAGGGGAGGGCCAGGGTGCTGTCGAGAGCAGTCACCGGGTGACACCAGCGGTGCTTGACTGGTACTCCGCAGTACTCGCAGGCCATTCCAGGCAGGGCGCCGCCCTATCGCCGAAAAGGATAGTGCATCAGGTGCGCATGACTCTTGAACTACCTTTCACATCAGTGCGCCCTCCACAGGAGACGCAATTCAGAGATCGCTCACCCTCTGACGGCCGCCCTGTTCACACCGATCTTATCCAGTGGCTTCCAGCCCATCGAGGCAGTCTTTTTGATTTTCTCTCTTTCTTGCCGACCAGCTGCGCAAAACAGCTTCGGTCAATGGCGTCTGCCATGGTGACTGCACGCCGCCTGCTCCTTGGCCTCAACCACGTGACGAACTCTCATGCCCACGAGGCTGATGCTGACCATGCCATGCATGAGGCTGACCATGAGGTCCATGAGAGGTGCGGGTCCCACCGCTCACCCCCCTTTCCACCACCGGCATCCACTGTGTTGGTGCCGCCGCCGGCCTACCGCTTCTGGATGCTTGCGATTGGTGACCTGAGGCATCCCGCGCGCATTGCCACTCAAAGCCCATGCAGTGCCCATTGATGCCCAACATCTAACACACAACCTGCCCGCCGTCAACCAACCGCAGCACCCTGGACGTGCGCATTGCCGCCATCTTCGCCATCGCCGCCGGCGCGCTGCTGTGCGGCCTGCCGCCCCTGTTCCTGCGCGCGTTCCAGAGCCCCGACTCGCCGGTGGCGCGCGGCGCGCGCGCCTTCAGCGGAGGCATCATCCTGGCCCTGGCACTGGTGCGCATTGCCTCGCCCCTGTGCCGCAGGAATGCGCGTGCACTGGCGCGTGCAGCCGCCGCCCGCGCTGAGCAAGCGCTTGCCCCTCCCACAAAGACTGGCCGGCAAAGCTCCGCAGCGCCGCGAGGCCAGCGCCAGTCCCTTGCGTGCAAGTCTCCTCCAGCTTGTCACTCCATCATTTGGGCAGCGCTTGATGGCACAGTCCTCGCGCGTGCGCCCGCGCCTTGCACTCTTATGACTGGTGCGTTGATAAGATTACAGCAGGGACAACTTTCTCGACCTGGCCCCACAAGCAGCACAATTTCCACCCTCAAACGCTTCATCCTGGACACCATGGTCACCACAAACGGCGCCACCCCCACCCGCCAGATCCACATCGTCCCTGAGGCGGTCATGGAGTTGTCCGAGGTTGTCAGCTACCCCATTGGGGGCATCACCGTTCTGGGCGGCATCCTCGTGATGATCATCCTGGAGAGCTCCCTCACTGCCCTTTGGTCACCCAAGGTGCGATGGTTGTATGGGGTCGTTTCCTTTATTGTGTGTAGGCAGTCCATCCATCCTAAACCTGCGGCAACCCCTGAACGTTTCGCGGAGCTGGCATGACTGCAGCATGCCTCGCGGGCTTGCGGTGCTGCCCGGAGCTCCTATCCAGGTCCCAACGTATGCAAGTACTGACTCGAAGCACCACACACAATCAACAACATGATTCAGGGTGACCAGGTACACAGCAACCACCACCACCATAACGACATGGAAGCTTCCATCAAGGACACCGCTACCCACAAGGACACGGACGCCGCCGCCCCCGACGCTGCGGCCGCCCACCCGCCCGCCGCACACGCACACGCGTGCACGAGCAGCCTCACCGCGCAGCGCTGGCTGGGGCCTGGCGGCGCTGGGTCGGCCATGGCCGGGGTGAGGGCGTACGTCACTGCTTACACAATGGAGCTGGGCTGCATCTTCCACAGGTGGGCGCCACTCTGCCAGCCGCGCGTAGCGCGAGACAACCTGCCATCACCAGCGGCCTTGCGTGCGGGCATGTTGGCGCATGCGCGTTGCTTTGTCCCAAGTACACCTGGTTGCTGCCTGGGCCAGCGGCGCTGAGGTCTGCAACAGCAAAGTTGTCATGGCAGCCCCCCTTGAGGGGTCACCCACCCTCAATCTTCTCCCTGCCTGCGCGCGAGCCCACCAGCTCCCGCAGACAAGCACATCCAAGCATGCGCCCACACACGCGTGCAAGCACGCACACTCGCACATATACACACACATACTCACCAATATGCCATGTCCTCGTTTGTGCCGCAGTGTGATCATCGGTGTAGGTGTCGGTGTCATCACCGAGGACCGGCACCTTGTTATCGTGCTCCTGGTGAGTGGTTGCGTGAGTGAGGGGCGGGGGTGGAGCTGGAGCTGTGTGTTTGTCCACAGCGCCAGCCAAACATGTGTGAGTCAAAGGTATTTGTGGGCGTGTTAGGGTGAGGGTCTAGGGGGTCCTGGCTGCCAAGTCGCCCAATTCACGCTCTACTCACCAACCGATAATCAACCCCGTTTTGTGCTCTTTGGAACCGCACCTACGGCCTGCCCCGCTGATCTACTGCCCTTCCTCCAACCCTTGCCCCGCTCGCAGGTAGCCCTCGTCATCCACCAGGGCCTGGAGGGCCTGTCCCTTGGCACCGTCCTCGCCCTCACCCCTTTCTCCAAGGTCAAGAAGGTCATCATGGTGGCCATGTACGCGGTCACCACCAGCATCGGCATCGCCATCGGCATCGGGCTGGCCTCGACGTACGACCACAACAGCGTGGCGTCCAAGGTTGTGCAGGGCACGCTCAACGGCGTCTCCGGCGGCATGCTCATGTGAGTGCGACGCCCTGCCTTGGCGGGAAACACTTGCAAGCCCGGCGCTTGACATGCGGCAGCCGCAACCAACTCTGCGTGCAGGTTGGACCCGCGCTCTGACGGACTTGGAGCTTGGCAGGCCTGTTTACGTCCCTTGCTGACCCGGTTTCCTCCCTGTATTCAACGGCTGACACACGTCACAAACTCTCTTGATTCATCGGCCCCTCGCAGTTACATCTCCCTGCTGCAGCTTATTGCTGAGGAGTTCTCCCGCGCCGATCTGCTCAGCCACACGCGGCTGCGCCTCGGCCTAACGTCGGGCCTGCTCTTGGGCGCCGCCTGCATGGCCGTCCTCGCCATCTGGTCGTGATCCCAATGCGCAAGCTTGCTGCTCTAGGCGGCAGTCAATGTTGTGGGGACGCGATGTGCGCAAGCATGCACTCTGTTTGGCCCCGATGCGCGCCACCCTGCCGACGCTGGGTGCACACAGCCTGCTCATCCCCCCTGGCGTCGATTTCCGTTGCCTGCTTAGAGCAATGGCGGGAAATGGCGGCTCACACGCCCACTGGCTAGCCAAAACGGCTAGTGTTGTTGGTCTCTTATCCATGGCCTACTTTTCACGCCCATTGCATAACGTGTGCCAAGCAGGCATCTGCATGCGCCCCCCCGACACTCTTGGCTGCAGCGACTTATTTGGTGCATACGCACAAACCCAACCGCTTATAACAAACAAAACCGGGGCCAAGATCCCTTTCACTTGCCCAGGGGAAGCTGCTCTGGCATCCAACCACTCTCGCAGCAACCACCATGCATTGCTGCTGCCACTTGGACGCTCCCTGCGCCCAGGGCGCGTGTGCAGCTCCCGCGCGCGTCGCTGGCTGCGAGCGAGCTGCACTTTGACTGCATTGATACTTCTCACGGCTCCTCCCATGCGTGGTTCATCGTGGTACAAACCCTTGGCCATCACCTACGCCCCTGCTTTCCAGTGATGCTGCCCGGGGCGTGAAAGGGGGTTACACAGGGCCAATAGCCTGCAAAATGCCTACCCTAAACTGTGCTGCTGCCCTCGCTCCAAAAAATACTGGGAGCAGTTGCATTGCTGCATGCAATCCCTCCTGCCGCGGGTGCATGTAACGAATCTGTTCTAAGTGCAGACGACCCAGCTTCCTAGGGTGACCCTGCCTGCATCAAGCTGTGTCGCGCCGCCGCAGCGCCCTGCCCCTCACCCCCTCACCAGCGGGGGTGAGGGGGGTGGGCATGAACAAACCAGCCGTGTGTGTTACAGCAGGTCTCTAGCCGCCATCCACTCACTGCCGCGCATCGGCGCCGCCGCCGCCCTCGCCGCGGCCCCCCGGCCCCTCCTCTCCGCGAGGCACAAAGGTGCCGTACTTTCGGACCTTCTTGCTGAACGACCGATTTCTGCTAAAGGCGCCCTCCAGCGGCCGCCCCTCCTCGACGTACGCCCTCAGCGCCGCCGCCAGGACAGACGCCTCAGGCAGCACCAGTGACGTGACCTTGCCGCCCCGGTCCGCGCGGGCAGTCCGGCCGATGCGGTGGATGAAGTCCACGGCGTTCAGCGCAAAGTCCGCCTGGACTACGTGGGTCACGCCCGGCAGGTCGATCCCGCGCGCCGCCGCGTCCGTGCTGACCAAAACCACGTTGCCCCTGCCGCTGCCGCCGCCGCCGCCGCTGCTGCCGCTGCTGCTCCCGCCGGGCCCGTCCGCTGCCGCAGCTGTGGCCATGGCTAGGAGCGCGGCCTCGCGGTCCTCTTGAGGCACAGCTTTGTGGTACACGTGGTGGCGCACTCCGCGGCGCCCAAGCAGCTCAGACACCTGGGTCGGTTGTCCAGAACGCAGCAGGGAACGAGCAGGATCAGTCAAGGAGCCGGTCGAAGGACGGGCATTTCCGTGTGGAGGGCGCAAATGGGGATTGTGATGCTGCCGCACAGCTAGGTCCTCACCACGGCCCTCTGCAGCGACAACGGCTCGTTTTCGGTGAACCCCAGGGTCTACAGGGCTGGCGTCGTGCTGTGCCCAATTCAGCGCCCCGACCTGCTGCCGCGGCGCCCCACCACTCGCCGCCCCCTCTCACCGCGTCCGCGCTCGCGACGTCCTTCGAAAACACCAGCACGCGCGCCCGGCCCGCCGCGTAGTCCTCGCAGCCCGTCACCGCGCGCGTCAGCGCGTCGGCCCAGGCCTGGCCGTCCTCCTGCAACTCCACCCACTCGTGCGTCACCCGCGGCTTGCTGCGGTGCAGCAAGTCACCGGCCACCCACACCGCCCCCTTGTACCGCCGCTGCAGCTCGCTGCCGGTGTCCTCCTGGCTGACAGCAGGCATCGTCGCCGCCACGAACGCGTACTGCTTCCGCAGCGCCGCCGCCGCGTCCTTGCCGATGCCGGCGGCCCGCTCCTCGCCGCCGCCGCCACCGCCGCTGCTCCGCGCGGCGCCGGGGCTCCGCCAGCCGGCGGCCAGGAGGGCTTTCACTCCGCCGTCCCAGAGGGCGAGCTTGAGCGGCCGCGGCAGGCCGCGCATCAGCTCCGGGGAGACGCGCAGCTGCGCGGCAGCTGCCTCCTCCATCTGGCGGCGCTCGTACACCTTCATAAGCTGCGAGGGCCGGTTGCGGCCGCCGCATGCACAGGGCACCAGGCATGGGGTTGACTGTGAGCAGCCCGTCAAACCACCTTTCTTCTGGACAGGCTGCCATTACCTATAATCCCTGTCTCTTGCTCCCACCATACAATCTACAGCCCATGTCGGCAAGCACCAGTTCATTTGTGCCCTCACGTGCGCGATCATCACCGGCCGCATGCAAACAACCCTTAACCGCACCTCCAGGATGTTTTTGAGGTCCCTCTCGTAACCGCCGTTTAGTAAGAGGTCCGCCTCGTCAACCACCAGGTGCCTCACCGCGGACGCCAGCCCCTCCGGCGTCCACAGCCACCCGTAACCCTCCACGTCCCGCAGCAGCGTCACCAGGGCGCCCGGCGTGGTGACGACCAGGTCGGGCCGGTCAAAGGGCGGCGGACAGCGGGACGAGACGGTGATCGCGCGCAGCAGCGGCGCGCCGTCGGCGCCGCGCAGCGCGCCGGCGGCGACGAGCACCTGAGCGGCGAGGGCGGTGTTGGGGACCAGGACGAGGGCCAGGGGGCGCCGCGCCTCCGCCGCGGCCGGCGGCGCGTCCGGGCCGCCGCCGGCGCCGGGCCCCGGCGGCGCGGCGGCGGCGCCACCCTCAGCCTCGGCCTCGCGGTGGCGGAGGAGCAGCGATGCTATTGGTGCCAGGTAGGCGAGGGTCTTGCCGCTGCCCGTCTCTGCGGCAAGAACGACGTCCTTGCCCGCCAGCAGCGGCGGCACGGCAAGCTCCTGTGGTATTAGGAGCCATAGACGCGTCGCCGGTGAGGGGTGGTCGCCGTGGGCCGTCAGCGCGGCGTTTGCACCGCAGGCAGCGGCTGCCAAGCAGGCGGGCGCCTCTGCTTGCATGCCCGAGCCGACAGCAGGCGGCAGGCGTCACTGCGTTGCTGCTCCCGCGGCGCCGCCGGCCGGCCGGGCCCGTGCGAGTGCCCGTGCACGCACCTGCACCCGAGATGGGCGTGGGTAACCAGCCGCCTGCAGCGCGGCCGCGACCGCCGGGCTTAGCCCGAGCTGCTCGAAAGACGCCGCGGACTCAGCATAGAAGTAATCGGCGCGCGGCGGCGCCTGCTGCCTTTGCAGCAGCGGCGAGGGCGGGGGCTGGCGGCGGGCGGCGCCGCCGCCGCGGTAGGACCCTCCGCTGCCG